AGCAGCAGCAGCATCTGCAGCAGCAGCAGCATCTGCAGCAGCAGCAGCAGCAGCAGCAGCGTCTGCAGCAGCAGCAGCAGCAGCAGCAGCGGCGGCGGCGGCGGTGAAGTTTCACAGGTACAAATGCACCAATCTGATGCAAGAGAACATCACTATTAATGCCCCTAAAGGCCAAACTTCACTGTCTTTGTCTTTTCACAAGAAAAATATCAAACTCTGAGTTAGAAGCAAGGAAGACTGAAGAAACGGGTTATGCTGAATAATTTTACTGTACTGGAGGCCACATCCTGTACAATCTGGTTGGTTTTATCTTATTATTTTTTAACCTTTTTCAGCTTCTAAATGCATCAAACGAGCAGAGTAAAGGGTGAGAGAGTGATGCTCTGATGCAAAAGGGAGGATAAAGTTTTAATCTTTTAATTACGAGCTGGATTTAAAACTAATCTATGAAGGAATTTGGAGCACCTTTTTTATTTTATGTGCAATTAAAAAGTTCAAACAGTCGAGTTTCTTCAGAAGAAAATCTGAATCTTGTCGAATGAAAAACCGTCACCTTTATGTTTATTGAAAAGATTTGCATGATTGCACTTGAAGCCCATTTCACCCTGGACGTCTGCAGACGCTGCAGCATCAATTTGTGCAAAACTTGGCAACTTCAAACTCCTCCAATATTCCTAATAATCTCCTGATCGGAATCACTTCTTCAGGTTATTGACTGGTTACATTTTCTCTTGGTTTGAGGTTTTATTTTCAAGCTCAAGCTTGCAGCAGTCAAACCACATTCACAACCTAAACAAACCATGAGTTCATTTGGAAACTCATCCACCTCATCCAGACGGTTGTTTTCATCCAGACCCAAACGAGACGCACTGATGAAGAAAGCAAACCAGTTTGTTTTAAATGGACGAAACCAGAATATCCTTAGTTTGAGGCAGAGAACCAAAGCTTTGAACATCCTTTAGGGAGTAAATCTACCCAGTGAAGCATTCTTATCTTGTCTCTTTAAAAGATTGTTTTTTTTCTGGCAGCGAATGCAACTAATGTGGAACCAAACATGCTTCCCCATGTTGGGACATTAAATCCAACAGCGACAAGTAAAAGTTTGACCAACAGACCTTACAGACAATGAAAGGGATTTATGAGTCTCTTCCTTTGTATTCCAGGCTGACTTGAGTGAAAAGATTAAACAAAGAGGGAAAAACAGGCTTTACTTCCTTCTCTCTGAAGCTGGATTAAGCAACAACCTTTGATTAAGTGCTGATGCACGAAGCATCAAGACGGTTGGTAACAAAGCAAACAAGAACAATGACAGGAGCTTTACCTGTCAGTGCAAACCTCTGAGGTTTTACTTCTAACCGAGCCTCTCGCTCTGCTTAAATTCAATCTGGCATCCTGGTTCTTCTGAGAAATAAACAGCGACAAGAAAAGTTCAGATCTGCTCAGAAATAAATAACTTCTGTCACAGGAAATGAAATTCATGGAGACTGAGGCAGGAAAGCACAATAAGGTAAACAAACCAGTACAACAGTAATTAAGACCTCATTAGTGACTTAGCAGAGCGGGAGACATCTTTGTCCAACTGGAGCGGGTACGGACGTCCCCGTTTCCACCTCAGCTGCCGCATACAGGAGCACGACTGTTTGGGGTCAATTAGGAAGCGCCCCCGCCCTCCTCCGCTGACATCCAACGGCCTCTGTGGTTCGAGTTTGGCAACAGATAAGTGTTATCAAAGCTCTCAGGGAATCGGAACAGGTGGTGGAACAAAAGATGAGGGCAAAAACCGAGCGACATCAAAGCAAAACCTGCTTTCTCAGGTTTTGAAAAAGCAAAACCTGACATTACGCTCAGCAGGAAATGATGGGCGCCAATTAGAATCAAGAACAGAAAGGAGAGAAAGATATGGCCACACTATTCCTTCAGTCGTCCTTCCCCTCCGGAAGAGCGAGGCTCTTTTACAACTGCAGTAAAGCTAAACTGAGGAAGCAAAATCTGACGGGTAGCAGGAAACGACGGGTGCCAATTAGAATCAAGAACGGAAAAAAGAAAAAGAGTTGCACGCTATTCTATCAGTCCTCCTTCCCTCGGGCACAGCAAGGCTTTTTTACAACTGCAGTTACTGCTGCATTTCTGAATTTTAGCAACTTTTCACATTTTTAACACAAAATCATGTTGGGTTGCTAGTGGATTGCTGTAACACCTCTACCACCAGGCTTAGCAAATTTTCTGGGGTAAACCCTGCAAAAGCTAAAGGAAGCAGAATCTGACATTAGGGGCAGCAGAAAATGATGGGTGCAAATTAGAGTAAAGAACAGAAAGGAACACAGGGCTGCTCTCAGTTCCTTCAATCCTCCCTCCCCTCGGGCACAGCAAGGCTCTTTTACAACCGCAGTAACTGCTTACACCTGACCATCAAACGGCATTGCTGCATGCACACACATGCAGATACTTGGTCTGACTGCTCCCGTATGCAGACACCGCATGCTAAATGCACATTAAACCGAAGCCAAGCAGCTTGAAAAACACCCAGAGCGGAGACAAACCGATAGACCTGCAGACCGGCTTAAACAGGTTAAGGTTCTTGGCACCTGCTGCATTTGAACAACAGAGCCTCAGTACCTGGGAAACCAGATAACAACGGCGGTAAAGAGCTCTCTGTGGCTCAGCCTGAGTCAACAATGCCCCCCTCCTTCTTTTACACGACACACACACACAACAGGATAAAAACCCACGCCGACTCCTAGTAAACCGGACCATATCAGGATTTATGACTTTAATGGCGACTACTGAACAACAAGAGGAACTTTTTAGGAATTTATTTATTTTTCCAGATCAGTGAGTTTTTCCTCCACAGGTGAGAGGAAACAGCTGAAGCTGAACATCCCGTCTAAACCCAGGTGTGTGTGTGAACGCCTGCCGCAGCCTGTAAGCAGATCCAGGCAGAGTCAGCGTCTAAAGCCATTCTCTATTATCTCCTGCAGCTCCGTTCTCAGACACACCCTTCTTTTCTGGAGCACAGGGGAAAGCTGTGTGTGTGTGTGTGTGTGTGTGTGTGTGGGGGGGGGGGGGGGTGGGAGGGTGGATGTTGCTGGGACCTTAAACTTGTGAATACTGGGATCGTGTTGTTCACCTCTGCAGTTGTTGGTCAGAGGTCTCGTTTCAGGCGTAAATGTGCGAAGCTCTGCAGCTGGACGCACGCTTCCTGAACACACCCACAACTCCAGGCAAATAGGGATGCAAATGGACTCAAACAGAGCAGCGCGTGTCCTAACGAGAAGCAAGTCGCTTTGAAGTTACTCTTTATAATTTAGGAACAATTTCCTTAAAAATTGATAACATTCAAAATGAAAACTGACTCTTTCTGTTCCCAACTTCTGCAACAACCACAAGAAACCACAACCGAGCGGATCCAACTCTGGCCTTCAACGCCATGAATGAGTTGAAATCTGGTTCATGAGACTTTAGCAGAAAACAACGAGACGCCGTTGTTTTTTTTTTTTTTGAGGAAAAATCTTGAACCCAGCACTGCTTTAGCCGAGCTCTGGATGCTCAATAACTTCATTTTTATTAAGCATTTCAGTTTTTATGCATTAATAGGGGAAAACATGCATGTTTAAAACAACATGTCAAGAACCTTAACCATGAAAACTGGAGCTGACAATCACACACTTTACTACAGTACCATTAAATCAGGTACAAATGTTTGAGCCAACATTGGACCAGAACCTGGAACACAAACCACAAAGAGCAGAACTCTCCAAATACTTGAGACTCTCTCAAATGCTTACAGCTGCCAGTTTTAACAGTTCAAACACAAAATATACCTTAATGTGCGTTAATAGTGGCAGCCATGTTGGCACGAGTGCAGCAGCAAGAATCTACAGTGGAATCTCTGCTTCAGCCAATCAGCATCAAGGAAAATGACAGGTGCTTCTGGATTGGCTGCTGTTCTGAGCCAAATTATTTCATCTTCCTCAGCTGCATTTTCTTTTTGAATATGTTCAATAGAGATGCAAATGGAGAAGAAAAACCGTGAGTCAGAAATTATTTTGAGAATAATTTTTTTTAAATCAGCAAGCAGGAATATTTTTCACAAAAAACTGAGTTATGCTCCACAGAAAAATATGCAAATCTGTACATTTTTAACAAATAATTTGGAGATACATTCCAATTAAAATGTGAATAATTTGGTGTTTTTGCAAATATTTTAAGTTACAGAAAGATTTAGAAGATAAATAAACTGGTAACAATATAAAGTCTAGAATTTTATAGAATGAGTTTCTGCAGATGAATGTAGCTGAATAAAATCCGGATCACGTGTGGAACCATTTGAAGGCCTGCACTGCTGTGTCCTGAACTCAAATTAAATCATTAACTGACTTTCTGTACAACATTTGATCAAATTGTTTTGAAAACAAGTAATAAATCTTTGATCTAATATGAGCAACAAAAATCCACCAAAATATGAGGGAATTTAGCAGGTTGAGAAATAAAATATCATAAAAAAGCAGATTATTTAAATACTTGGTTCTGCATGTAAAGCTGCAGGATGTGACTTTTACTCTCATGTATTCTGCTAAATGTGCTAATGGGGAAGAATAGTTTATAGTGAAGCTAATTAGCCTCAGTGCTCAGACTGTGTGTGGTAATGATTGACAGCACTAAGACCCGCCTCCTGACTCTGATTGGTTGTTTCTATTTGAAGTTGATCTGTTCACTGAGTATCTGTCACAACAGGATGACAGTTTCAGCAAACATGTAAAGAATAAAAGCTGCTCAGTGCAGCTTTGAAGCAGCAGTCTGAGGCAACAGTCCCTGCAGCTCCACCATGATTCATCATGACAGCTCGGACTAAAACAACAACCTGAGTAATGACCAGGTCTGCTGTTTTAAATAGAGCTCACAAACCGCACTCCTCCATAATAACCTGCTGCAGTGTCACAGGTTCTGCCTCTGAAATGGCGCAAACTGAGTGTTTTGGTGCAGCTTTTAAACCGACTAACCTGGAAGATGAGCACTTTGAAGTTGTTCCTCTTCAGCAGGTGGTTGTGGTTGGACTCCAGCTTCCTCACCTGCACCGCCTGCCTGTCCAGACGCTCCTTCACCTCCTTCACGTTGCCGTTGACTTTGCGGGAGCGCTCCAGCAGCTTGTTGACGCTGTTTGCGGTGGACAGGTGGGTCTTGGAGAGGCGCACCACGTCGCCCTGCACCACCCGCACGGCGCCCTCCAGGTCGGACTGCCGCTGCTCCATCCTCTGCTGGTTCTCCTGCACCGCCTCCATCATGTTCACCAGCTTGTCCAGCAGCGCCACCACCGTGATGGCGCTCACCTGGCCGGGCGAGGAGGGCGCGGCGGCCGCGGCGGGGCTCAGGGGCCCCCGCAGGCTGAGCCGCTTCAGGGTCCCGGTGGGGTTCGGGGAGCAGGGGGCGGAGGACGGGCTGATCTGCAGCTCCGTGTTGTCGGGCTGCAGCTGTGGGAGGGTGTGGGTGCTGCCAGACACACTGACCGACACGCTGCCGGGCTCTGCGTGGGACCCTTCGTCTTCCATGGCTCCTGAACTCAGACGCTTCCTCTGCAGAGGGGCTGCTGTCACTCTCCGGGCTGCGCAGAGACTGCAGGCGGGCTGAGCAGCTCCTCGGAGTGGGTTCGGCCTCCACGCCTCTTTCTGACACGCACAAACACGCCGTGAACTTTCCAAACACTCCCCGGGCTGAGAGGAGGGGCCGCGTTGCTACGGAGACCAGCAGGCCGAGCCCTGCTGCTGCAAATCCAGACCGACTGATGGGAGTTCCGGTTCCGAACGGGATCCGGGCTCCACGGATCGGCTCACCTAAAAGAACCGGTTCTTCTGACTCACAAACGGCTCTTCAGTCACTTTTCGAATGCAGATATAGGAGAAGTACGACGGAGTGTTAAGAGTCACTGTGGATTGATAAAAAAGGAGAAAATTTGCAGCAAAAAATTAAGAAATTTTGAGATCTCAGAAATTTTCTAGGAAAAACAAGATAATTTCTGAGCTCCTAAAGATACAAATCTTCAATGAACTGATGAATCTCAGAAAGATTCCAGTTCATTGGCGGCTATTTACTACACCTTTTTAAAAAATCTACAACAGCCCGAATAATATGAGCACTTTAGCATTAGCTTCTGCTTATTACTTTGTTGGTTTAACACTTTAGCGTTAGCTTCTGTCAGATTTTATGTTGGTATACCGCTTTAGCTTCCACTAATTACTGTATTAGTGTAGCTCTTTAGCATTAGCTTCTGCTAATAACTACAACACTTTAAAACAATAGCATTAGCTTTTCCTAAATACCATGCTGGTATTGGTATTCCTATAATTAACATGTCGACATAGCAGTTTACCGTTAGCTTCTTTTAATTGCTCTATTGGCACAGAGCTTTAGCATTAGCATTTTGCTAAATACCAGGTTGGTAAACCATCCCAGCATTAGCAGAACTGATGTTCATGGTCGGTGCGTTAGCGTTAGCGCAGCTAGCTTTCTGGCAGTGAGCTGGCAGATGCGGGCGGCTCGGCCTGCAGTGAGTGGATGTCAGCTCTTCCTTGCATTCGGCCTGCTGTGTGTCCATTCCACATTGAGCATGCCTGGCTGCATCTGTTAAATAAAAGTGAGGGCTACCTTTGTTTACAGCGCTGGCTGCTGCGTGTTCACACGGAGCCAAACTGTCCAGAACAAAAAGCGCAGAAGTTTCTGCTTAACAAAAACTAATCCAGGCTTTTTCTCCAGAGACTGAACGGGACGCTGAAGCCGCCTGGTACCTGCCTGCTCCTCCTGCTCCAGGCTCAGATTATGGCGTCTATCTGAATGTGTTTGTGGCCACATTTTCCTCTTGTTGCTCAGTTCTGTATCATGGCATGGAAATGTGGAAATCCCTGTTCCAGCAATGAGCTCATCTGCATGCTGGCATCCAGCCCTGCTCTCTTTCTCAATCTCCGTCTCTGTCACTGTAAATCTTTTATTCATAGTAACGTGATCACATGCTGCAGGGGCAAATAAAGCAGGAATGTGTCGCAATCCGCCTGGAAGTCACAGCTTGTTGCGAGGCGTGTTTTTATCTGACGGATTGATTTTCTCACAGAAACAAAACGATACATCCGACCAACGACTCCGTTATCAGAGCAATGAAATCTGCGTTGGCTGAAGTTAAAGAAGCATTGTTTCTCCAAATATCAACACATTCACACCCACAAACTGGGATTAGGCTTCCTGTAAGCGCTGGTTAAACAGAGGAGCCACACCTTGGGACAATAGTGAAAAACTGCTGCAAAACGACTCAGTCCTTCTATTCAAACGTCAGGATTGTTTTGTGCACATTTTGATGGTAGGAACGTCTTTAGTTCAACATAAATCTGTGTTTGCATGTTCGGGTTGGTTTATTGTTTGGACGGTTGTTTGAGAGTGTCCACATTTCATGGTCTTGCTGTATTTCTCCCAATCCACAGCTGGTGATTGCAGGTGAAGCCTCGTCTTGCCTTTATCCTCCAGCAGATCGTCAGTGTTTCTAATGGAGCCGTTTGCTTCCTGAATGATGAATCTGAATTTGTGTTTTGACATTTGTTATAGAAACGCAGCATCTAAAACATCTAGAAAAGTTCATATCTAAACCACTTTGCATACTTCTGGGTGTCCAGACCAATCTAAGAAGTCGGTTAATTAAGATGATGATGTCAGTTTTTAGGGTGAAGGCTGTAAAAAATGGTCCTGGTGTCATAAAGGGAACGTTTCAACCTGAAGTCCTGCTGACAGCAGCGACTGACGGGAGAGTTTGCACCATGTTTGTTTTGTCACAGCTTCGTCTTTTCGCAGCCAGAAGAGTCGGTTACAACATGTGAGGTTAACAAATCCTCTGCAGAGGCTCTCAGTCCATCAGCATCAAAGCTGTGAAAGTCATGCTGAAGTGGGAGATATTCAAAAACAGTAACTTCCTTCCCAGGCCGAGTCCAGATTCTGTCACCGCTGTCCCAGGAGACGGACACATTTGTTGACACAAACGTTTGACCTCCTGTTCCTCCACTCTGACTTTTCCCACTTTCACTTTGAGACTGTGCAGGGAAGGGAACGACCATCCCATCCGGACCTTTGGCCCATTTTCTTTCCATCCATCCTTCCTCTTTTCAGTCTTTTCCTAAACGGCTGGAGGTTTTCCAGTTCTCCAGGTTTCCTGCTCTGTTTCCCAGAATGCCATCATGTTTGGCATCGACTGAAACATCCTTTCATAATTATCTCTGAGCAGAAGATGGAGCCATTAAGCCACCTAGAGGCTGAGAAATGCAAACAACCTAATTGACTTCCTCGAAGGTTCTTCCCTAAATTAACTCATCTAAGATTATGCTTATTTCTTATAGCATAAATTCCTATTGTGTATGTTTGCTTAGTTTGGTAACATAATCTCCCAATCATAAAGACTCCAGAGGAGTTTTGGTGAATCTTTGCAGAGAGACTGATTCCCTCCAGATAGGCTGCAACACGCTGAACCTCCAGGAACCTCCAGGAACCTCCAGGAACCTCCAGGAACCTCCAGGGCGGGGCCTTTATGTAAGCTGCTGGTCTCACTTCATTATCTCAGAAAGGATGATTTACAGGTTCATTGGTTTTTTATCCTGTGACAAAACAAAATGTCACCAAAAGAGTTTAATTGGATTCATTCATTAAAAGGCAGAAAAAGGCATTAAATTCAACTGTTCACTAAATGTTGATGGACGGAGGCTGTGGATCTTCTCTAAGGGAGTTTTCCCACCTGGTGAACTCACTTCCATTTTTAGCAGGTGTGGTTTTACTTTCTCACTGCACTGCGTCTCAAACGGAGTGCTGCTGTTTGACCTCAGTGTTCTTCTTCTGCAAACTGTTGTAATTAATGCATTTAATTAGTAGCATGAACTAATTAAAAAGCTGAGTCTACTGGACCTAATAGTCCAGTAGAGTCGGTTGAATTGGGGCCGAAGTTGCAACGTTTGCTTCATCTCCAGCTGCTGTGAGTCAAACCAACCAAACCCTTTGACAAACCTGTTCCCCTCCTGGCCTGTGGGGGCGCTGCTGCAGGAACCACTGAAGGAAGCAACATGAAACCTCTGAAGAAAACAGTGCAATAAAACATAAACAAAAATGGGATAGCGTTGGACGTTTGAGCACAAGTCACTTCTCCAGTTGGTGCTGGACTAGCGCGTTTGTGTTTGGTTGTATTTACCCAGAATGCCCTGCGCTGTAATCCTCTTCCTGCTTTTGGAGCGGTCTCTGACCCGAGCCAGAGTTCACTTCAACCCAAGTGAGGCAGAGGTTTCTATGTGGATCAGTTTGCATCAGATCACTTCTTCCCAAACGAACCGGCAAATAAACTGCAGTTGGATCAAACATGGCTGGCAGGATTGAACCTTGACCAAAAAACAGCCAAATTAGGTGAAACGTCCACATCCTGCCTGCTGCCTTTACTTCCTCCTTACTAAGAGCCGGTTTTGTGCAGCCGACACATTTCCTGATCAGTGTTTAAATGGCCCCCGATGTGATTACCTGCAACGACTGCGGGCAGATGGGCCGACCTGTGACGATACGATGGATGCCCAGCAGCGTTTGATTCGTATCAGCAGCTCAGGCTGGATGTCTGGTCGCACAGTGGGAAGAACGTAAGCAGTGGTACCCTTCTGTCACTAAATCAAATGCTCCTGCAGAGAGAAAATGGCATGTTGGGACCAAAACAGATGGTGATGGATCTTTAAATGACCCTCTTCCGCAGAGCGCCGTGTTGGACACTCACTCACATAACAGTGGCCTTGCACACCACAAGAATAGTGTGTTTATTTGTGGTGCAAACGCTGCAAGTACTGCCGCTAATGGACCAATTTCAGGACTGAGCGTGACACACACACACACTCACACACTCAGCCAGTGAGGAAAGCTTTCTGCAGGTTGGCGTCTCTCCATTAGTTTTCAGGTGAACAACACCATCAGTTCTCAGAGCAACGGGCCAGTTGAGTTGGTGACGGCAACTCTGGAGCAGTTTGGTGGTTGTGAATCAGTGTCAGTGTCTCCTGCGTCGGAGCCACAGGCCTCCAGCCACAGCCGCCTGTTTCCATACATACTTTTGATCACACAGCTGCTCAGTCATGCAGAGACAAGGCAGGGATGTAAATGATCTACATTTGGACGTCCTGGAGAGAAACGGGGCAAGTCCACACAGGTTCTGGTGCCAGAACCTCCCTGGGAATCAGACACACTTTTCTCAAAGAAGACAGGAAACTAAATGCATGAGGTTTGCTAACAGGTTGCCAGATCTGACTGACAGCTTCCAGCCCGAAAACAACGTTAACCCAAACAAATCCAGAACAAAGCAAACATCAACCTCTAATCTCATGTTGTGCATTCAGTTTCATTTCGGTTGTTCTTTATTGTGTTCGGACCAGAACAGTTAACTTAGTGACTTTATTTATCTTTATTACAGAGCATTCACACCAGCCCCTTTTAGTCCCTTTAACCCAAATCCAGTCCGTTTGTCCAGAAAGTCCGGTTCATTAGGGGAGATGTGAATGCTAATTGGACCAGAAGCACAAACTCTCCTCCGACTACAAACCTCGCTCTCGGTTCAGATGAACTGAACTCTGGTGAATGGATTGAATGTGACTGAAAGCAGGAAGTGTACTGAAGTGCAGGGAATTCTGGGTAAATACAAACAAAACAAGCATGTTAGCTTAGCACTAGCGGGAGAAATAACAACAAACCTA